CAGTACTCGCAGCAGCCTCCTGGGTAAATGCCAGCATACCTCTTCACAACAGGTAGGGCTTCTTCATCAACCTTCCATTCCTGCATAAACAAGCAGGTCTGAGTTCTCCAGTGACCAAGGTCTTGCAATCACTGTGTGCCATATTAAGAGCCTTGCCCTTTGTTTTGATTAGGATTGCATTACTTCCCTGTCTTCATGTTGGCTAGTGTACTAGCAAAAGAAAACTCCCTGCTGTTAGCTTTGTGTTTTCATCACTTGTCAGTTACAAACTTTGCAGTTTCTCTTCTTTTGAGGGGAAAACCTCTAATCTAATATTTTTCTGTCAGATGATGATTAGTGTCATTGTGCTTCTACTATTTCCTAACATGACACGGTAGAGACCTTTTGGTCTTACGAGCATTTGTTAAAGTTACTTTTCATGAGTTACTTTTCACTGTTCCATCAACACAGCTGGTTGGGTTTTTTTTTGGGGGGGGACTCCTGCTTAGAAGCTGGTGGGACACATGTTAGCTGTTTAATCTCTTTTATTTCCTGTTTTGGTGGCATTTAGGAGCTCCTCATGTAGTAATCCTGAATGGGTTGAATGAAAACTGTAGGACAGACCACTGAACCACAACAGAATTATGAACCAGATGTTCTTTTATTGTTTAAATGATTGTGTACTTACTATCTACCTACCTAGGTTTTTCGTACTCATTTTGTTTTCTGACTACATGATGATTTGAGTGTTGCCTCCTAAAGCATCCATGATTCCAGCTTTCCTCAGTTCTTTCAAAATGCATCCTATTTGAGGTCTGGGAATTACATACATCTACTCTCCATTTATGGAGAGTGCTTTTTGCTAATATATTCAGTTTTGACCCAGCTCCAAAGATATAATAGCCAACAGCTCTTCTCTGCTGATGCTAGAGGAATGCTAGTTCTCTGAAGTGCTGCCTCATAAAAGCCTTTTAAGGTTTTCATATTCAGCCTCTAATTAAGCAGGTGTCTAAATCTGTGAAGCTGCTTCATTCTGAAACATCAACCTGCCTCCACTTCAAAGTATGTTATTTCTTTTCCCAAAGATGTTGTAAAAAGTGCTGCTTTTTTGACCATTCACATTTGTAGGGTTATTTAAAGGCTTTGCCCCTCACCTGATGCAGTACTTGTTTTCCAAAAATACACAGAATACATCAGATCTGATGAAATGCCTCAAGGATGTTCATTAATAGTAGTGCTGGAGTTCGTATCTTTGACTGAAGATCTTTAACCATATTGGCTAACTAACTCTCCTGCTAGCCTAATGACAGAAGTAGTTGCAACTATGATCCATGTGATGCTTCTCCCACTAGAAATCCAAACGTTTCCTCATGTTTTTCTGGTGGCTGTTTTTCGGGGGGGGGGGGGAAGGGTTGGTTTTAAGCAATATGTCAGTTTGGCTCCGAAACACGTCTGGAATTTGTCATACCCAAACCCTGGAGAAAAGAGTGGATTTAGCCTAGCTTGTCCCCAGGGTTCCAGTATGGTGCAGCTCCAAATACAACCACTGACTTGCCTTATGATATTGAGAGAAGCAGCATGACATTAGTGTAGGAAGTCTTCCTACACTTCAGATTTACATCTGAAAATAAACAGTCTTTTTTTGGAAAGAACACTTGTGAAAGCATTATAAACTGAGGCACTCAACATTAACTACCACCGTCCTAAAAGAGCAAACTGAAAATACTCCTGCTTGTATAAGACAAAGGCAGGTTTTATTTGCATTTATTATGACCTCTTTGAGATAATAATAAATGCAAATATTACAAAAAATAAGTGTGTATTAAATAAAGACCTTCAGAAGAAAGAAAGAATTCCAGAAGCAACACAACTCCATGTCCTACACCTACAGGCTTATGTCCTACAACCACAGATTACTACTTTCCCATCTTGTGTGTTTTCAAGAAAACAACATATGGATGAAGAGAATTTCCCAGAGCAATTTGGAGGAGATAACACAGATGTGTGTGAGCGCTGTTCACTCAGAGTGGCTACTCATATTTACTTAGGGACTTCTGGCTCTGCAGTCACTGGTAACAGTAACACTGGTAACACCTAGAACTTGATCCCCCACTCAAAGACAGATAACTCATTCCTTACAGGGCTGCCTCCCATCCTTCCAGAGGCATTAGTCTCTCTTATCCCCAGGGGGTAAAGGGCCCTGTGTGCCTCTCAGCCATGAGGACACATGTTTTCCCCCAAGGTTTGCAGTGAGTCCAGTTGCCATTCACTTTTTTTCAAGGTATATGCAGAGTGTACAGATGATCCCCAGTTTAGCCCACAGAGCTGAAGGAAGGGAGAGAAATTTACACTGATCTTCCTCCATCCAGGAGCAAAAAGGGATGAATTAGGCCTGAAACAACCCTTCCATTTCAGAGCTATCTTTTAATAGAAAAAAAAAAAAAGCCTTTTTTTATATGACCCATTATTTGTTGATTCGAGCAAGTGCTGGGGCAGCAGAAGTTTGTCCCCTTTATTGTACTGCACAAACTGTTACGGTGTCTGCCCTCTGTTCTCTCAGCCAGAAGTGAGCAGGCTTTTCTAGCTGCAAAATCAATATTTTTTCATTACAGAGCAACTTGGTCTGCAGACCTAGAGAGTATCCTGGTCCTACAAGTCTAAAATGTGCATTTCCTCCGATCTTCCAGGAATTAGCAACTGCAAAGAGTGGCAGTGGGTTTGCTTTTTCCTTGAAAGCTCTGCCCACACACCTAGTATGCACTGCTGTGTTTCTCTGATGCATTCAGCTTGCGGTCACCACCTATCATTTCTCTTTCTTCTCTCTGTGCCACCTTACATTGGATGTAAAGTTCTTGAGACACGTTTAGGGCATCAATTTCCTCAGGGCACTTCTTTAATTTAAGGAAAGGACAGAGACTCCAATTAACCTCTAGTGAACAGACCCATGGCTCACTGTCTGTCTGGGAAAATGAACCTCAGGGAATGGTACTCTTACATTGTAAGTGCATGTCAGAACCACAGTCAGAACTCATGTTTTGGCTCTTACTCTGGCATGTATTAGAACAGTGTGAACAAGCAAGTTCATTAGCCTCCCAGAGCCTGATTTTTTTTTCTACTTGCAAAGAAGAAATTATGTTTACCATGGATGAAATCCTAAAAACAATGAACACAAATCAGGAACGTCAGCATGTGCTAACTTACTACACGGTGGTAACCACCCTTCTCTTACATGTAGAACAGAAATTCTTAAAAGGAAATGCACTGGTAAACATTGACATTCTGATGTTACTCACAAGATTATGTTCATACCCACAGGTATGCAAATAACTAGAATAGCAGCTTTTATTTTCTGAACAGAAAGTTGAAGTGCAAGACTGATGCTTGCACAGAGTAAAATGAGCTAATAGGAATATGATTCCTTCTGTTTAATGCTGCCTAACTCCTGATTGCTCATACTTGGGCAGAGCAGAACCTAGGAACGTGCTTCCTTCAGACAGAAAGACGTAGCAGCACATGCAACAATAGCAAGATTCAAACCTATACTGACTGAAAAATCTAGCTAGCAGAGTGCCACTGCTTTGTCCCGGTAAGCAGCTACATCCAAAACTGAGATCCCCAAACTATTTTACTAATACTGGAGTAAAAGGTGTTCCCAGGATGATGCAGGTCACAACTATAGGGTCACTCACCCTTTGCCTTTTTCTTCCATACCACCTGGGAGCTCTCACCAGCCCTTGCTCAGTGCTCAGCTCTACCTCAGAAATGAAGCTTGTGTTGCAAATCATCAGGAGTCTTTCACCAGCAGATCTGGTTCATCTAACAGACTCCAAAGGGACGATTCACACAAAAACACAGGGATCTGTCTCCCAGGGAAAGAGCTGAAGACACACCTCAGCCCCCCATTGCTTAGGCGATTCCTTGATACACATTTCTGGACACATCCTTCTTGCTTCTTGGGCAGTAGAAGGCTGTGGATTCTCACAGAGTGTAAGACAAGGGACAGTAATGCTCACTGTTGCCATGTTAAGTTTTGTTCTCCTGAAAACAGACCTAAAAATAACTTGTGGCCCAAGATTTAAACATTTCATACTGGTCAGCTACCATGGACACTCACCTGTGGATACCTAAGCTTGTAATCCCAAACATACCTAGAGCTTTCTCTAAGAAAAAATAAAGGAAGACTGTTTCTGGGAAGCCAGCCTGGGACACAAGGCTGCAGAAACAATAGTGTCTGAGTTACAGACTCTGGTCTGGGTTAGATATAAGAGGGCTTAATTCACTGCTTATTGAGAACAAAGCAAGGCAGTGATTGAATAAATTACTTTAAGGTTCTTCACTTTAATGATTATATAAGATGGTACTTTGTGTTGTCACATGAGCAAAGGTCAGTGAACTGTCAGTCCTCATTACTTGGGCAAACATTCTTTTGAGAACTCCCAAACGACTTCATGGTACATGGAAATGAGTACGTCTTTAATGGTTCTCTTTAAAAATCAATAAGCATACAGTTTAGAAAGAAGGCAAATCAGTAAATGGAAGGAATCATAATTAAAGAGAAGCAAAAAAAATGAAGAGCTATAAAAAATAAAAAGCATTACTAAGACTTATCGCCTTGTCCCATGAGACAAAAGTTAAGCATTACAACTCCTGATTGGACCGACGGCCCATGTCAGTCTAAAATAACCTATCCCAGAAAAGAAAATCTAAAAGGAAATGAAGAAAGTACAAAACCCCCTCAAACCCATCAAGGAGAATAATGGAATCAGTCATGCACTGGGTACATTTTATCTACCACCGGGATTTAACATTATGTGCTGAATTTGCTGTGACAGTGGATCTGGGGTCAAGTAAAAGCACATTCTTCTACCACCCCATGCAGTGCACATTCACAAATTTTTCCTGAACCGGTGCAAGACCCCAGTTGGTTTTGATACCCCTTTTGCTTTGTAAACATTCACATTTCCATTTATTGTACTGAACTGCTCACCCATTTTGAATCATGCTCCTAACTCCAAGCTGTCTTCCAGAAAATAATTCTCTTTAATTCTTGTATTCCAAGTTAGAATAACAGCAGATACTAACCTTCTGCATGCTCTTCACTAATCATTCTATAATAGCCTCTCATTAAAATAATCACTGTAGATCTTCTTTTCAGTTCTGAGAGGAGTTTCCCTGCTGTCTCTGATCAACATTTAACACCTGTGAATGAACTGTGGTATCTGCTCTACCTTTTATTTTCCTTCCCAATGGGAGGTCTAGAAGTGAACAAAGTCAGTCAGGAGAGCACTAATGGCTTTTCGTAACAGTCTTCATCCAGGATTCTAAGCAGGGTCTTAGAGTGTATGCACAGCAAGTGTAAGGCAGGTGAAAAATTCCTTCCAAGCAACAGAATTAAAGAGATGGTTTTCTTTCCATTAGTTTCAAGCTCTCTCCTATCTTGAAAACTATTCATCAACACCAAATTCCACATATTGCCCTGGATAGGAAAAAAAAAATAGATTTGGACTGAGAAAACTAAGCAGCAAGTTACCGAATGTCATTCATGGAGCATAAATGGAGGTTATACTCTGACACCAGAGAAAAGTCACAGTTACAGTGCACAAGCATTCTCAGATTCTACTTTTGTTATTGCTACATTATATGATTACATATGAAAAAAAAACAAACTAAATCACAACCTAACAGGGAAATTCATAATACTTGGGAAAATTTAGTTGAATTCTTTGTGTTATTGAAGGGTAAATATTTTCTCAAGACTACAGAGTACTGGGTTTAGTCCTGTGTTACTTCACCTCTTAGTTCTTACGTTTACTACAACACAAGTTATACAGAGGAACAAGTATATTATTCCATTTGGGGGAATGTGAGTGTACACCTAACTCATCAGCCGAGGTGGATGCTTAGGTTTTTCTTTAGCTCATTTTTCATTCACAGAACCACAGAATGGTTTGTGTTGGAAGGCACCATACGGCTTATCCAGTTCCAACCCTCTGCCACAGGCAGGGGCACCTTCCCACCTTCCACTAGAGCAGGTTGCTCCAAGCCCCTGTGTCCCACCTGGCCTTGAACACTGCCAGGGATGGGGCAGCCACAGCTTCTCTGGGCACCCTGTGCCAGTGCCTCAGCACCCTCACAGGGAAGAATTTCTTCCCAATGTCTCATATCAGTCTCCCCTCTGTCAGGTTAAAGCCATTCCCCTTGTCCTGTCCCTATAGGCCCTTGTCCAAAGCCCCTCTCCAGGTTTCCTGTAGCCCCTTCAGGCACTGGAGCTGCTCTAAGGTCTTCCCTTAAGGAGCCTTCTCTTCTCCAGGCTGAACCAGCCCAGCTCTCTCAGCCTGGCTCCAGAGCAGAGCTGCTCCAGCCCTCTCAGCATCTTTGTGGCCTCCTCTGGACTCGCTCCAACAGCTCCCCGTCCCCCTTGTGCTGTTGCTCCAGAGCTGAATGCAGGACTTCATTGCATAGAGATTACTTGAAAATGTCCGTATTCACCACAGAGAGTCTATCTGTGGGAAACTGAAAAGTGGTGCCTGTTGGAGCTTATGGCCTTTTTGATTATGACTACTTGATCAATGAAGAAAACAGATTACCCAGTCCTCCAGTTAATGAATAAGTACTATTTTTCCTGTCTGGGACCTAATGAGAGCAGGATCCCCAAGTGTCATCCACTAAGGACAAATGAGCGGTATATATGGTACAATGATGTGAATTCCATACCCACCCAATTTATTTTAAAATAAATCTGTGCACATCCTTTGAAGATATCCTCTGGAAAGAAGTCCTTTGTAATCTGTCATGTTCCACTGGGGTTGGCAAACATCTGTGCATGCAGCAGGGGAGAAGACAGGGGGATTTGTTTTACCAGGTTAACCTTCCTTAGGGCCTTTCAACTTCTTCTCCTAATGACTTCCCTCAGACTTCCCCTTTTTTAAGCAGCCATAGTATGTGCAAGCATCCACATTTGTCTTGGATATTTAATTCAAGCAATTTATACTGAGGGTTATGCTCATGCCACATAGCTGGACCAAGCACACCTCCATAATAAGGAAAATGCATGTACACAAACCCCTTTAATCTTGCTTCTCATCCTTCTCCAGATGCACTAATAAACAGACACTGGCAACATGAAAACTAAGTATCATTTATCTTTTGCTCCTTCAGCAATAAACCCTCTCATTTGCTACCAAAAGGCAGAGGTAACCCCCCTAAAGAGGTAAAAAAACCCCTCGCAATTGTTGATTTACTCCCAGATACGAATGATTTATTTGGAAGTATCCTATTTGATAGCTGCGTCATGGGGCGTTTTCTTTCCCCTGAGAGAAGACAGGAGATCATGAACACAGAGAGAAAGAAGATACCCTAGACAGTGAGCAGTGGCCAAAGGGCTGGACAAACTGAAGAACAAATACAGGAGAAAAGAATGTTAGCTGAAGAAACAGAAAAACGATAGTTGAAAACTACCTAGTAAACTGACCGAGTTCCAGGACTGGGCTTGTTGAGCTCTTCTCACGTGAAATCTCACAAAAGCATCAGTGAAGACTGGACTTTTACAAGGAACTTAAATAGAGTGGGTGTACAGACCCTGTTGACGCTTACAGCAACACAGTTTAAGTCTGCTAGATGTAAAACCCACATATTTCTGAGTCTGGGCTACTTTGGAACGGTCTCCTGCGGTTTCTCCTGTGAGGGACTCCCAAAGGCTCAGGAGCACCCACAGGCGGGGCAGCCGCCGCCATTTTGTGCCAGGCCGCAGTGGGTCTGACCGCTCTTATGAGGGACCGCGCCCCCGCCCTGCCGGGGTGGCTGAGGGGCCGTTCCCGGCCGGGAGCCCCGTTCATCTGGAGGTGAACGGCTGCAAATCCGCTGCCGCTTTGCAGGCCTGACAAGCTGCCCATGCCGGGGAGGGGATGGCCCTGCTACGGCCATGGGGAATAATAGCTGTAATAGCGCCGCTGGTGGAAAAGGAACCCTGAAATAGCCGCTTTTTGTGGCGTGTTTTAAGGCGCCACAGATATGGGAAAACACAACCCTGGCCTTTCAGACCGAAAGGTAGAACTAGCACCAGTGAGAAAGACTGGAATTTGCTGAGGGCATTCAAGGGAGATAGTGGAGAACTTGCGGTGGTTGTGCCTTAAGGATGAAAAGTCCAGAACGGCTAGGCTTGAAGTACTATGGAGGAAGTATTTGTGTTCTTGTTAAAACAATAAACCCACTGCTTTCATACATCGTTGTAGAATGACTGTAAACAAAGCTCAGTGCCCAGCCAGACATCCCCATGTAGAAGGGAGCAACTGCCCAAGAGCAGAAAGAGAACTTGTGTACAGGGACAGCACACAGTTAGTGTGCATGCTGTATTTCACACAGCACATGAAGAATCTTCCCAAAATTCCAGCAGAATGAAAACAGAAAATTCCACATGAATTTGGAGGTAATTTCTGCATGGAGTAGAACATCCAGAATTAGTCAGGCCTGAGGAGAGAGCCGCTTAAGGTTCTTCAAGATTTTTGCCTCGTCAGTATAAGCAATTCACAGTACATCTTCCAGCAGATCATCTGTGTGATTAAAGAGTGCTCAGTAAGATGTCAGCTAAAATAGTAGTGGAGATGTTTCTATTTCTGCAGTAAGTGGGCTGAAGCCCAACATTTTCATCTTACTCTTCTATACATTTAAGAACTGCTGCTGCAGTTCCTGGGTAAAGTGCTCATGGCTCTTTAAAGTGCTTGGTGCTTGTTTAAGAAACCTGCATTTCCCCTCAGTTAGCTGACAAATCCAGGAACTCTTTGCTTCAGTCACCTGCGAGATAAAGCTAAACTGCAAGGAGGAATGGAAAATGCTGTATAAAATGTAAAGTACTACCAGGGCCCTAGTAAAATGCTGTTACTAAGGAGGAATTGAAGTGTTACATGTTACACACCAGACATTTGCTGCTTCAATGTGTATGTGTTACCTATTTAGAAGGGAAATTTGAAACAGTTGAGTGAATCTTTGGGGTTTTGTTTTAGTTATTAAAAAAACCCCAAACTTGTAATTTGGACGGAGAAAATACGTAAAGAACTTGAATAGCAGGACTAAAACAGCACCCTTACGGGTAGCATTAACTTTGGTGATAGTAGCTCGAAATATATTTGTGTGGTGCAGTAATCTATAGTATGAGTTAATACAGTTTTACCTTTAATATATATAATATGCTGTGTATTTTTTCTGATGCCATCATCTTGGAAATGGGTCTTGCATACAGGATACGAAGAATTTTTTTACAGTAACAGCAAAGTACTCTGCTGAATTAGGATTATTAGCCATCTCAATCAATTTCTGTCTAGTTGATAGTAGTCAGAGCTACCATTTAACACTAGACATCTTTGCTGTTTGAAGGCCTAATGTCCTATGAATCCCCTCAGGTTTACTTTTTTGAGTTTTAACTATTATATGACTTCACTTTGCATTTGCTGCTGTTACTGCGAGCATCCCAAACAGCACAACTAGGGCTTGAATAGACGGGAGACCCTTGGGCACCTGGAGCTCATTCCCTCACCTCAGCTGCTTCTCTGCTGATCACACTACCTGGGGTGTAAATGGCGGTAGCCCCCTGCCTTTCCTTAGGCACAGGGTTGCTGCTGGTGCTTCCAGGGAGCTGATGGAGGTCTGTGAACAGGAAGGGTCAGGAGGCCTGCCGGCAGTGATGGGGGCAGGCGCCATGAGGTGTGGAGAATCACCTCAGGCTGCGGTGGGGAAGGTGAAGAGGGTATCAGAGCGGAGCCTGCCTCACTTCACTTTCCCCCCAGGAGTAGCAGCCATTCTGGCTCTGTCGTCCCAGGAGGGAGTGAAGAAGCTGCCCCATAAGGAACAACAAACCGTGAGTGTGTGCGGGAAGTGGGGGAGCGTGGCTGGGCTCGGGGAGGTGTCTGCTGAGTACCGGGGGGGTCAAGAGAGGGGAGGGGTGGCGGGGATGCTGTGCTGCACCTCCCTATGGTCAGGTCTCTCTGTGCCCTCTGGGGTACAGGCTTATGGTTTGTTGTTGGCTGGTTTTGGTTTGCTTTGCGTTGTTAGGGATTTCTTTGTCAGCCAAAGCCTAGTTTTGTGGGGTAGAGCCAGGGTCACGGTGTAAGAGCAGGGCTGGGCTCCCATGCCACACTGCCTTGCAGCTGGCAGTCACTGTGGGGGTATTATCTGGACCGGGATTGTTCCCTTTTCTCTGTGCTCTTCTCCAGTTGGTTTCTCTGTTCTGTCAGTCCATGACTGCTTCTGACCAGATGTGTTTTTCCTGTGCCATTTGTTACCTGTTGCATGAGGTGGCATTTGAACTTGGTATGTGCTGTATTGTAGCTGAGCAGGGCTCAGAAATAGGGCTATTGCAGTAACCTCATTGCTTTGTGCTCACTATGGCAGATTATTAATCTGCTATGTCTCTCTGCTCTACCCTCCTGATAGCAGTCATATATGACATGATGTGGGCTATCTCACATTTAGTCTAGCGGAGTCCTTATGTAGCAGGCAAGCAGAAAGAATGTGTGTATTTTCCCTCCTATTTTATTGCACTTTACTCTTTGTTCTAATGGGAAATAATTGCACTTAAAAAAATAATGACTGGACCGTTGTGCTTTTTTCTCTGTCTCGGAGGGCAGGAAGGTAACTGAGAGAGGAGAGATGCCAGGTACGGAGGAGTGCTGCTGTGTTATCCTATGACTTTCTATCACAGTTTCACATTTACCTCAAAAAGCATTGCTAGTGAAAATAGGTCCCTCCATCCCATCAGCTGTGAGATTTACTGTTCCATTGTACGAAGGATTTCTGCCCCTGACTCATCACCACAGACAAACTCATTACTCATCTACACAGGTAAAACAGAAGTATGAATAAATATAAAATATCATGTTAGGCAGAGATGAGTTGTAAAAACACTATAGTATATGTGTGTTCCAGCTGTAAACCTAGTATGAGGATAACTGTCATGAATCAAAAGAGGCAATGCTAAATCTCTGTCATATTGCATCTTTTCTCTGATTTGTAAGACCTTTGACATCATTTTGTATTGGTACTTACTGCTTTGAAATCAGAGATCCACATGGGTGTGTGCTGCACCTATTCACAGACAGCCCATTCCCTAAAGATGATAAATCCCAAGCAAAAGGAAGTAAAAGAGAGAGAAGGCAGCTTGTGCAAGGTCATGTAGAGGTCATTGGTAAAATAAATGGCTGCTTAAAAAGACAAAAGCAACTCCAGTGTGTTCCACCTTGATCCGCACCTCACTAGCAGTGATGATGAAGCAGCATGTCCAGAGTGGATGCCAGTGATGTAGTGTCTTCCTCTACATCTGGTGTCACAGGGTTGAAGAGGTCTTTAATGTAACTCGGGTGATTTTCAGAAACAGAAGTTTAAGGAAAGTAGTACTTGGACTATGCATCTGTTGGCAGATGTGGAAGGAGAAGAAAGATACTCATGGGTGGGTATATCATCATATTTTTAATACTCAAAGTGGAAGAGAGTTTAGACAGTGACAACCCATAGCAATGTACAAGCATGAAATACGCAATAAAGCTTTCATTCAAGGTAGACTTTTAAGAGGCCTTAATGAAAGCTAGAGCTGCATTATGGTAATCCAGACAATAAATGAGGGAACAACTAAATAGAAGTCCACAAAATCCCAATTATAACTCCTAGTTATGGCAATGCACAGAATATGCATTTTGTGCTGTCTTCATCCCCTGGTTGTTGGTTTGAAGCTAAGCAAGACAAAAGAATGAAAGTAACTTTACCTCGGACATCCTGCTAACAATGCAGTTTGTTTCTTATTTACAGGTCTCCCTGTTTCCATCTCCTGTTTC